TTCTGCTGTACTTTCTACTTCAAAATTTAGAGCTACTTGAAAAGCTGAGAAGAAATATACAAATTTTTTAAATGTTAACAAATATCTCAGGTGAGAGGAAGTACTGGTCAGATGTTTGTTAACAATTTTTTTAAATGTTACTAAGACATGAAGATTAATCAGAGTTCTCTAATACTGCCCAACTTTTCATCTCTCGAAGTCTTTACTTAATTTCTCTCCGTCATGATTCTATGACAAGGCACATACCAAAGGAATGAAGATGAGCAGAGCAAGAGAATGAGTGTCAGGGAACAGGTGGAAATGCACATCTCCAATGCACGGACAAGTGCTCTACACGTTCTCAGTAGAGCCAGGCTACTTGGAGCTCTACACAGACACTATACTTAAAACATATTACCTATTTTTCATTACAGCATTGTGGGGAGACATTTGACTTAATTAACTAATCTAGATAACACAGTGTTTCCTATCCCCACCATCTCCTTAGAAGAAAAAGGCTGCTAAACAGACTAGCTTTTCTTCATCAGTCAGCATTACTCTATTTTAGCTCTGAAATTTTCTTATCTTAAAAAAATTGTATAACAGCTTATTTTTGCAGACTAAGAGTGGTAAGGAAATGCTTTGGGCTATTGACTAACTAGAATCACAAAGAAATGTGCATTCATAACTGATTTTTTTAATAACCTACCACCCCTGTTCTCCTGGCTCTGAGAGCAGACACCTTTAAGTATATAACTAATCTTGATTCAGTGCTTAAAAGGAGATAGAGAATGAGTACAGCATGTGCCATGAAGCTTCACAAACTACAACTGTGCCATTAAGAATAACTAGTGTGTGTGGGGGGGGGCGGGATTCATATGGCAGTACAGTTCAATAGTTTATCTGATGGACCAGTGCTTACTTCTTGCTCTCTCTTCCATTCAAAAGCAAAGAAGCAAAAGCAAAAGATAAAAGCAACAGTCTACTAGACTATAAACTAGTCTTATAGACTACTATAAAAATTAAACACACACACACACACCTAACACAATACAACACACTCTGCCAGATCACTGATCATTAAATGCAAGTCCAAAGATCTTACTGGTAGCAAATTATAAAGTGTTTGAATATTAGTGTATGTTCAAAGTTGTTTTCTAAGTCACCTCTCTCTTCTAAAAGTTGTATTTTCTGTTTCCTGTGTTTCAGTTCAGCAAGTTGAAATCCACAATATGCCAACATATTCTTGGCACTGAAGACGTAGGTGAACAAATGGTCTCTGATCACGAGGTTGGGAAGAAGACTCTGTGCATGTCATGTTAGTGAAAGGTGGTTGGTCTAACGATGAGAGAACACTGAAGGTGCTGCTGGAGCAGAGTGAGAGCATACGAGAGGGCGGAAAGGTTTCCTGGAGGAAATGATGTCCCACATGAGGCCTGCAGGAGAGGCATGTAACCAGGGGAGGGATATTCCAGGCAGAAAGAAGAGGAAGTGCCTAAGGCAGAGAGGCATAAAATAGCACAATGCCACAGCCCAGGAGGGCAGTGACTAAGAACTCCAAATAATTTTGTATTTCTGGAAACTCAATAAGAGATGAGGAATGAATGCGGCCAGGACATAATGAACCCTATGTGCCATCCCAGCCTGTAGCTGGGAGGCCACTGAAGTTAGATCATTCCAACTAAAGGAATGATCCAGACAGATCTGGGTTTTAGATTCCCTGCTCTGGCAACTTACGATGCAAGATGGCTTCTCAGGTGAGAGGAAGTACTGGCCAGAGACTACTTCCTACAGCCTGGATTCTCCAGGGTCGCTGTTAGGAATACAACTATTCCTGAATGGCCACTATGGAACAAACCTGGGATGTCGTGAGATCCCTAGACCCAGAGAACAGTTTGGAAATGCTGGGCCACTCAAGGACTCTCCCCTGGAAACCCCCCCTGAATCACAGGCTGCCTTGGATGGTGGTTGGTTACATAACTAGCTGTCCCTGACACACTGCAAGTTGTAGGTGGGCAAGCAGACCCTCCCCCCACCCCCCAAAATGTGTTTTTAAACTCAAGGTCTGGAAAAGAAGCTATTAGTAAGCAGTAGAATAGAACCTGTCCAATGTTAATTATGCTGAATCTGCACACTAACAAACAGAAACACCCTGGATAAAAAGGTGCTGCACTTGCCAGCTAATGGAACACTTCACTAAATAAAACCTTATCACTCAGCTCTGTCTCTGCCACATTTCTTACCGGCCTTCCGGGTTGCCTTGGGGAAACCCAGGGGCTACAGCCCCAGGAGTCACAGGAGTTTATGTCAGATTTTAGCTCATTTCCCAATCCTCTGCAACTGCTCTTCATCCACCCCCAGCCTGAACAACTCACATATGCAACTCCAAAACAATAAATAAATAGCATTTGTTCCTATCAACTGGAGGTCTCATTCCTTACCTCACACTTAGTCCCACACCTCTTCCTTGCCCCGACTTCCTCACTCTTTTCTACCATCAAAAAAGTCAAAGCTGAGCATTTGTTTCCAATACCCCTTCTCTACAGTGTCCTTGACCTTTCGGACATCAAGACCTTCTTTTCTCTCAGTCATGCTAGCAAAATCTCACTGCCTCCATTTCCCAGGCCTTTCCTATTCATAGTAGTCCTTTCCCTTGACTTAATCCCTGTAATCATTATTATTCATTTTATAACAATGTATGTCACATTGGCATCCAAATTAACTCCTACATTTTTTAAAGCCCAGACCAAGGCTCATCCATTCCTGTGTCCCCCCC